ACTTAAGTTTGTTTTCGGTTATAATTGCATTTTTTTTGGATATATATTTTTTCAAGAGCATATTTTTTAGACAGATTCTTATTTACAGTCGTACTTACATGTAAAACGCCATAACTCAGGCTGGGTGCTCTTAATCCACTTATATGGCAGGGTCTTACTGTATTTCATCTATTTATAGTTTGAGCAATTACAAAAAAGTATTAAAAACATGTGTTTTGGAGAAGGTCAGTCTGAATCAGAGTCTGAACTGTCTATATCTATGGCTTCAGAGTTATTGTTCTTTTTAAGAGATGCCAGATAATCTTTGTATAGGACTTTTGGAGGAATAATGTCTGAAAATACATTATATACAATTATACATAATCATCCACTGATTTTTAAAGTAACATTAGAGTATTGTACTTAAAAGACATTGTTTTATTGCTACAAGCTGGCTTGGTATGGCCATCAGAGATGACCACACTTGTCAGGCAAGTTACAATGAATGAATGACCGTTAAAAAGTTTGCTGGTAGTTTTAAAATGCTAATTTGCTATCCAGTAGAGTTATGTTACATATGGTTTCTTCATAGTGTGAATTTGTTTTGTATATTGAATGATTTACATTAATTTTTATCTATTCAAGAAATTTAAATGTTTCCCTCACAGTCAATGACAAGACTAAACTTCTACAATGAATACATGTACATTGTACCAGACGTTTAAAAGCATGGGTGACTATAATGCTTCTCTGAGTAGAAGACAGTGTCGTTTAAATCTCAAAGGTTTGCTATTATGAAGTAGTTAAATAATAATACTAGTTGAAATTTACCCTATGAGCAGAAAGAATGATTGGTGAAAGTATCCTCTTTCACGAGGTGTAGATAGATTTTTAAAACTAGTTGTCTAATTGCAATGGATTAATTAATGGAGATTACATACTGACTCATAGTYGAGGAAGGACTCAAATTCTTGTATAATTTCTTTCTTTTATTGCAATTATGGCATAGTCATTAAAAAGATAAAATTGTATACAGTTGTACATACCTGCCAAGAACTGCAAATTATCTTCATCATCAACTAATTTGGCTAAAGTTGAAAAAAAAAGGCATTAAAACCAACAATACTATATATAGGTGGTGGGAACTAGYGGTAAACTAGTGTGAGCTGCGTCGGTGTTTCTAAAGAAACAGTTGTGTAAAAAGATAAATTTAACACCGTAAAAAAGTAGGTGAAATAACTTACTGACGTTTCGGACGTTAATACTCCGACGAAGGATTAATGTCCGAAACATCAGTAAGTTATTTCACATACTTTTTTTACAGTGTTAAATTTATCTTTTTACACAAATAATACATAATCTTAATTATTACAATATCACTGGGATTGAAAAAGCAAAACAACAGTAACAACAACAACAACAACAACAACAACAACAACAACAACAACAACAATAACAACAAACAAACAAAATGAAAATGATGATGATGATGATGATTGTCCTTTTACAGTCAATTGAATAAAACCATGAATGTCTGAAATGTTTGAATCCTTTTTGTAATGAAAAAGTTTGTTAAAAATAATGAAAAAATCTATAAATTAGTGAGCAGGAGGCTATTTGAAGGACCACTGATTGGCTTATGGTTTCAGGTGACATATAGGTCTATATGTAATACTAATATGTACATGTACAATATGAGCAGGCGAACTGTATGAAGAATGATACAGATCGCACACAAATATTGTATATTACTTGTGAAACGTTGAGGTAAACTTGCTCACTACAGGTTTTAAAGAAACTTTTGAAAAAAAAATTCAATCTGGCCGAGAAAATCAGAGTTAAAGTTTATGCAAATGAACAAGAATCTGTATCATTGTGGATTTAAAACTCTCTTCATGGGTTATGATTTTTATTGTGTTTTGCTTTATGAATATTACTGAGTTTTATAAAGCCTGTCATAGAATATTTACATCACTGACTACAAAAATTCCAGACATTTTAGAATGTCCAGTAAAACTTAGCCCCCCCTGACTCACCAACAGACTTGTATGACAAAAGTTTTGCACCATTTTCTTTCTTGAGAGCAGCTTGAGTAAACGATCTCACAAACAACTCCTTAACAGTAAAAAAAATAAAAACATCACTTGATTGTATTTTCCTGAAGAGAATTCCTGACAAACTACAAAATACCATGATAACAGATTCATGGTCCTGTTCATGATACAGTGTACAGGGCAAGGTTGTTGGGAGCTTGATTAGCGTTAATCCTGGATTAACTCTTAGAAAAAAACCTACTTTCAGTACAAACAACTCCATATTTGGCAGCATGTATAAACGATTTTGTACAGAATCTAGTCCACAATGCAATGCAAACTTCTATCTCAGAAAGAGCCTATGTGAGCCCCTATTGGTTCAGAAGAATACATTTTAATTCAAACTCATTTTACAACTGCAATGCACATATTAAAATCAAAAATTACAGAATGGGCACTGAGTTATGGCCACCCATGGTTATAGACCACAGCCCTTTACAAAGAATTATATATTCCTTAAACAGAGCATAGGCTTCTTGTGCATTTCTGATTGATATGTTTAGTCTCCCTATCCAAAATCCTACATCTGCCCCTGATGAATGAATGTGCTCCTCAGTATGWTGTCAATAGGTTTAACATAAGGAAAACAATGTTGGAATGATCTCTAAACAGACCTGAGTTCAATGGTAACACTTCCCAAACTTCATCTGATGAACATTGCCTCCATCCGTGTCCTTGACTTTACTAACCTTTGTTTTGCCAAACGCCAATGAAAATACTTGGAATAACTACCATTCGTAAATTATTKATATTCACAAATCTGATTTCACATTCATTTCCTTGTATTAACTTTGAATGCATTCCTGACATACCACACTTTGTGAAAAAACTTAAGCGTGGATTTCACTAGCACATAAGCATGGACATAAGCACAAGCATGAGAATCATATGCGCAAAGTGAGAACGGCTCAACATAAGCATAAGACATTCAGCATGCGCACAAGCATATTATTTCGGTACGTGGCTATGCCTATGCCTATGCAGTCCCAATCTCACTGAGCATAAGCATTGAGATAAGCATGAGATAAGCATGAGATAAGCATGAGATAAGCACAAGAAGATCAAGCCTTGCTCATTTTTCTTCTGCTTATCTTCTGCTTATTTTGAGCCCGTTCTCACTGGCGCATATGACTCTCGTGCTTCGTGCTTATGCCTATGCTTATGCGCTAGTGAAATCCACGCTTTTAAGAATGTTTGCACTGATTGGTCAAATATCTGACACTGGAGAACCTAGCACAGTCGGGGGTGATGTCCATCAGAAAATTTTACCAGACAGATGAGTTGTTTACTAGGTTTCTCAATCTAGGGATATTGTTTATCTTCTTCAATATTTTCTCAGTTTTTCCACTGAATAACATAACCTGTGCTATGGTATTCGCTACAGCACACAGAGGAGCAAGAAAGCGTTTTTTTCCCGCCAAATAATCTCGAATCTATTGAATCTTTTTGACAAATTCATCTAAAAGCAAACTCACCGTTGCTCTTGTTATTAAGAATACTGAATCCTGGCTTGTATTTGCTAAATCTGGGGAGCTCCTCATGATTGTTTTAATCTTAGATAAGGATATTTGAGTTAGTTTGCCTTCTCGCTCTGAAGCACCTTGCTCTTCCGCCATCTTGAATTACAAACGCCCACAATGTAATGTGACCAGCGGTKTCTGATGACCGTGAATATAGGAWAGACTGGAAATGAGTCCATGTGTCTTGACATTTCAAAACGATAAAATGTCTATAAACTTATTTATTCTTTATTCTAGMTAGTTTGTCATGTTTTACCGTTAATTAGATGTCTTCTCAATTTGTTCAAGATGTTAAASCCCAATTTTCGCCGAAGGAAGACGCAAATCAAGGACTGGACGACCASGAAASTAGAGCTAAACTTAGAACAAGATTCCTTCGTTCAATTCAATCAATTTACGATTTTCCAGCGAACTTTAATTTACACGAGAGGACCAAGGTTTCGGCAGTTTTTAGAGGAACTGATATCAATGTGGAATGTTTTGCCGTATCAGACTTGCAAACTCCTATTGGACCTATACCCGAGGCTATGCTAAGAGCAAGTGACGTCATCAGTTTAACAGTGAATATCAAAGACGTACAAGTAATGGATGCATAAGCACGAGACACCATGAAATGTGAACATATGCACAATYAATTCAGCGTTATCATTCTGGCATGTTGGCCATGATAAAGAGATCAGACAACAATGAATCGTCTTCATGTTTGTTTAGCAGGAGTTACTAGCTATACTGATGTTGGGAAGGCTTTGCAGTGTCCAACCTCCTCAATATCCTCAATAGTCTTTAGAGTGCAAGTCACATAAGCATGAAACAATTCTTAACTATGTAGTGCTAAGTAAGATTTACTTATCAACTAACTAAGAATTGAGAACAATGCTACAAAGGAATTTAAATAATTGGCATTGAGTTTATGCTTTGTTGAATTCTTAGTTAGTGGATATAAATCTTATTTAGCAATACATATTAAGAATTGTTTTATGCTTATATGTGACGTGCACTCTGCAACAACAGTTTATTTATTAAAATCACTCTGAATACAATTACAATTGAATCAGCCCATGCAGTTAGTCAGGACTATTCAAGGCAAGGACAATAAAAAATAGAAAACTACTTTTATAGTCTCCTTCATGGTTCCCTGCAGCATCGTTGAAGTTAGCCGTGCAATGATAGAAATCTTCTTTTACACCTATAAACATCACAGGTATCTTTTATTGCATGCTCAACAGTTGTCTTGCTTTGATGCAGTGGCACAGCTTACTATAATGTAGAAATACTGTTTCACTGTACCAGGATTAATGTGTTATCAAAAACTTCTTATTGTCGTTGATGGATGTCAGTATATTTGCAGTTTTGATGGTTGCAGCGTTGATAGCTATTCCTTATATTTCCGATTTGTCTTGAACAGGGTATGGATTTTTACTTTCTAGTGTCTGACTCGTCCCCAGTCGTGTCTCGATCGCAATGCATGACGGGAAGATCGCAAGGTCATTGCGATAGAGAGAGAGGCGACTGGGGACGAGTCAGTTCTAGTGTCTTAAACAGGGTCAGGGTTTTAGACTACTGGCGGCACGTACCTATCCAAAACGGGGTCGAGTACCTCCCCCGGGACAGCTACCTCTCAAGATGTTGCAGGGAACTGTGAAGGAGACTATTGAAACATAGTTCTACTAACTATGATTGAAATCATACTAAAGCTATGAACATATAAGAGCAAGTCCCATCATCAGTTTACAGTGCTTTTCAGACATTTTTATTGCTGTATATTTATATGTTAACTACATGTATACATTACAAGGCAGAACAGAACTCAATGATTGAACTGATTGAACATTTTACTACAACCATCAGAATGCTCTGCATATTTTCTTTGTTATAAGTAAAACAATTTGTTGTAAACAAAAGTAAAACAAAAGTTCTTCCATGATTACATAACTCAACAAAGTGGGCAAAGCACTCGTTATGGCTGTAATCATGAAAATCGCCTTTTTGTACAGGTAATTGTAAGAAAAGACAGATATTTTTCCTGATCTCCTTTGCCAATCAAGGTTTGATAGTCTGGCTCAATGCTCGTTTTAAAACACCTCTCTTATTATTAAACATGACATATTATTCCTATTCCCAGTACTTAGAGTTATTTAATGGTTGGACTTCCTGTGGGTAACCGTGCTCATGCATCAAAGTAATTACTTTACAAGTAGACAATAAAAGGCAATTAAAATGCACAAATAATGCTCAAAGCTCAGAACATACAAAGCTGAAATTATAGTTTTATTAAGACAATCCTAATTCTAATCTTGCTACTTGTTCCTCACTCCCAAAATAAGTAAAATATAGCAAAAATAAGTAAAAMTTTACCCTTAGTTAAGCCTTGTTTTGATTTGGGATTCTATAAATGGCGGCCAATAAATTTMTCAGTCAATCAGAGGATTTGATTCAATTTATTTTCAACCTATCAGGAAGAAGCTSATACTGACAAAGGATTTCCGATATGGTATTTTCAACTCAAAAAATATTGATGAGTTCAAAGTCATCCCCAAACTCTCTTTTTATATCAACCTTTAAGCACCAGACTATGATTTGAACTAAAAAATTATAACATCATAAAAATCATAACATCAAATGTGGGTTATGGACCTCTCCTGGCAACCACAACTTTCTTCACAACAAGGGTTTTATCTTCTCTGGRAGTGAGGAATGAACAAAAAAGAAAGACTGCCCCTGGGTTMCTAAGGATGAGGGTAAATTAATTAAAGGCTTGAGTAATTATCTACAGATGTGCAGTTAAATAATTGTCTTCATGGTTTATTTAATAAAACCATTTGCATAAAGTCTTCATAATTGACGGTAATAGTGCCATTCMTTGATGTATCACGGGCCCTGAATGCATCTGTGAGTGATCTAAGCATGACACAACACTGTATGAAGTCATCCAACTTTAAGCTTCTACRGGCCCGCACATCAAATCTGGAACAAAAAAAGATATGGGATTTTTAAGAAGAGCAAGATTAGCCAAGTGTTTGGCTTGTTGTAGTTCTGTTTCAAACTTAAAGTGCCTATGCAYCCTTGCCAAATCCAACATATTTTAAAAATAGATATACTAAATGATGTATCTGTCGAAAAAAAGTGAAGATTTGATGAAATCCAATTTGTTTTGAGCTCTCAAAGTCGWTAATAAGTGCTACAAAACCAAGCGATACAGGGGATTGGCACTAGTGTTTTGATGACTGAATTGTCAACAAAGTGTCAACAAACCAACATCAGAGAGCTTTGAGTGCAATGGAGAAGAGTAGAACGAGCCTCCTCCGCAGGCAACTCTATAACTCCTATTCTTTTAATTTACGAATGGTTGGGCTTCCTTTGGTGTGAGGCGGGGAGACTGAGGGCTAGAAAAGAAAGAGGAGTTGGCATCTCTCCTTCCTTTTTCTTTTCCCACCCCCCAATCCCCTTCGTCTTTTGTATATTTGTTCCCAGACTTCCTTAGAGAGAGAGAGAGAGAGAGTATGAGAGAGATGCCTGGGGAGGAGGCTAGAGTAGAACTAAGTCTTGCCGAGATTCAAACTGTCTACATGAGCCATCATAGTCTTCTCAATCAAACATGAAAATGCGTCCCAATGAAGGCTCAGCTTTCTTAGCACAGGATACCCAAACGAAGCTTATAATGCAATAGCCGACTTGCGCATTACGCATCAATAGTCATATACAAAGGAATCAAGACGAGGCGCCGTGCTAAAGACAATAGATTTTTCACAAAAAAGCACGGCGCCTCGTCTTGATTCCTTTGTATGTGACTATTGATGCGTAATTCTGCAAGTCGGCTATTTCAAACCAACTGTAAAATTTTATTTGGTGACTTTCATACTCCGAAAAATTTTTATTGAGGGCTTAAACTCTGATTCAAAATAATATTTGGCCAAGGTGCATAGGTATTTTAAAGAACAAGAACTATAATGTGTTTATTTACTAAAATTGCAATTCTCACCTAGAGACGACAAGCTGAACAAAGTGTTGTGATACATTGAATCCCATTTGACTGAATGCAGTGTGAAGTTCATGGGCTTCAATTTGACCTGATCTGTCACTGTCATATCTATCAAATACACCCTTCCATTGCTGAATGTACTGCCAAAGCTGCTGGAACTCTTGAAAGTTAATGGTCCCTGACTGATCYTTGTCAAAGATTCCTAAATTAAAACATAAACAGTGTTGCGAATAAAATAAAATCATGACATATTATTTATAAATAAGGTGAAATCTGTTTTGACACATGCTGTAAATTACTCTTCTTGAGTTTTTCACAAGATGTAAAATACTAGCCAACTGGGATCTCAACCATGTGCAGTACCTTGGAACCCCAGGAAGTCCTCTGTTTAGTACTTTGAAAAAGTACTTCAAGCAGTATCCCTCAGTCGTAGCGTCCTACGCAGGCATCACTAAGAATCACTAGCTTTCTGTCTTTTTTGGGAGTTAGAAGACGGAGAATGGGGTCGAAAGGGGAGGCTCGTCACTAGTCCCTAGCAGCCAAGATGGCCGTTACAAAGGAAGCCCAAAGGAGAAAAAAGAGTTGCCTGAGAAGGAGGCTACCTCAGTTCCTCAGCTTGCAATCATTGTGACCCCAAGTCATGAAATCTGGGTTCTGTTCCCAAAACACTATACAACGAACTGGTACTCAAMCAGAAATCAGTACATTACAGTAAAACTGATACCAACCTATCATTAGGCGACAAGTCTCAGGATTAAACTGCGACCAATTGCCATTAATCAAAGCCTGTTGTAGTTCATTACTGGTTATTTSTCCTGATTTATCATGGTCGACAGTTATAAACCAGTTCCACAGGGTAGGGTCRGCACCAGGAGGGCATCCACCATAAGGTGCAGAGGCAAAACCTGGCTGACCAGGATARCCTGGTGCACTACCATAACCCTGCTGATGGGGGTAGCCTGGGGCTGCACCATATCCTTGTTGTGCAGGGTACCCTGGGGCACCACCATAGCCTAAAAAAWTAGGTATACAAGATCAGTTTAGATATTATAACAGTCCCTCAAATTRCCACAAAAGAATAGATGCTTACGACGTAAACTGGAAGTGAATTGAAAACAATAGAAAACAAAGGAATGGAAACAAGGCCTAAGGACCCGAAGGACCCTTGAGGTAATTAGATGGCAAATATCAAGGGATTGCCTTCACCTCAATTCAAGAAAAATTGCTTGTCTGTAGGAAATGGAYATTTAATTGCTTAATGTTAAATTCAATAATATTTTTCAATCCCTAAGTTACTTCTGGTTTTATGTCGTAAGCATGCATACTTTCAACAACTATAGTTATGTTTACACTATAATCAATTTAACAGTTCTTGTGCCATCATGAAAGAGATTCAGTACAGYGTTTAAAACAAAGTGACACAACARCTGRGCATGACCGTGAATTTATAGGTGTGAAAAAAGGTAMATTGTATATTTATTYACAGCAAGTTCAAACACTATAGCTCTTCGCAACAACATCCTTTCAAGATTGAGCTGGGAGTTATACACAGTAAGCTTAATACTTGTGTACAAAACAATAAGCTTAAGCTTTAAATCAAGCTAAATTAAGCTAAGTACTTTTCTCGTGGTATGTTGAAGCGAGATCTGATTCACCTGAGATAAAAAGCTGTATTAAAAACCTTGCTATGCTCAAATTTTGCATAGCGAGCTCATAAGATTTTCAGAGCTTTATTGCATATTTTTATTTCATTTGACAAGTCTTACTCAAAAGCCACAAAACAAAGCGGCGAGTAAGCTTTCCGCGACAACTATTTTTGGCGCAGTTCTAAATCAAATAACGACAAAACTTAGGTTGAAAGAATCTTTCGACAAAGAATTTAGATTTATAGATTTAATAACATACATATGGAGCCGTTATTTATTTRTATCGATGTAAACATTACCTGCTGGTTGACCGTATCCTCCTGGATAGCCCGCCATCTTGTATTTTACCCACAGTGCAACATTATCCACAGGGATACCGCAAGTGTGATGTTCTGGACKGTTGATCGCAAGGAGATAACAATGTAGTGTGCACTCTCTCCTGAGCTTATTCTCAATTTATAATCAGCTTTCCACTTGAAAGCCTGTTTCTCCTCCCATAAAATTCTGTATTGTGATAACTATGCTTTCTTGGGCAAAGAACAAAATATAATGACAAAGCCTTGCCCCGATCTTCTATTTTATTAAGAAATGTTTTAATTCGTGT